AAACATTAAACGTTTCAAATCAATGTGCATTTGTAGTGTTCCAACACGCTGTTCAAATGAACAACTAAACGGCTTTAAAATTCAAACGTCTGCATAACAGGGTGTGTTTAAGATGAATAATCCTCAGGACTAATTAGGATGTGTCATTTCAGGAAAAGCCCAGCAATCTAAACATTGTTTTATAAAGAGATTACTCATGAAGTCTGGGTCTCTGGTGTTCAAATCATTAAATATATCAAAAATAAACTAAAGTGTTCTTCATCAAAGCACTCATTCAAAAAGAAAATAAAACCTATTCTGGCTTAATTACCTTTCCCATTGCACATAAAAGAGTATAATTATGCACCATTGTTACTGTCATATTTTCTTTGTAGCAGCACTGAGGCCGAGTTACATAGCACTCCTTAAAATATTTAAAGGATACTTTCAAAACCCCAGCATTAACCCAAACCTCATTAAATTGTTCTGTTTTATACACGTAGTGGAGCCAAATACATATGCTACAACAAATCATGTTCCTATGACAACTGTATAAATGCTTGAAAACATCAAAACCTCCCCATTTCTATGATAAAGCCTTTTTAAAAAAAAAAAAAAATCTATGGTAAACAAAGCAATGACACAGACTTGAGCGTGGGTGATTTCTGCCCATTTCACATTGAGGCCCACACTAGTGGGGCGACGACACCGTTTAACAGCCGTGGTATCCATGTAGTCTGCAGTTCAACAGTAGTTAAAACTTGAAAACCATCAAAAATAATTAGGGCTCCGATGCACAGTGGCACTCTGGGCCAATTGAATTGACGTACCACATCCAGCAGCCTCTAGATAGTGCATGAGCTGAATAACAAACATATCCACAAGACAAGCTTGCTTTGCAGTTGGATGTTTCCCTTGTGTTGCCCTCCACTCTGTTCAACAAAGTAATGAAATAATGTGGAAAGAAAACACAAAATCGGCCTTGACTGAGTCAAAGTGTAACCTGCCGTGGTGACCTGCGAGCAGCTCGTTTAACGCTACAGGAAAAACTACTGTTTGCTGTCAAACGCAGGAAGTCAAATCACACTTCTTTTTTTTCTGTAAATGAATTCACAGCTCTGTAATGCACAAAGACGCAGCGGAGTTTCAGGAGAAAAACAGCAACTAGCCAAATATATTTTAATCTGGAAATTGGTCCTTGTTCAGATCTAGGTTACTGAGTAATTTTCCTTCAGTCGTGAGAATTCATTTATGGCCGAGACTACTGATGTTTGTGAGGTTACAACCCGCAAAGCAAGGTTAAAGCGAAGCTAACGAGCTGGTATAACGTCAAAATTCGATATTGACCCAGCTTTAATAGAAAGAAAAAGAAGAGGAAAAAACCACTCAGGCTAAAAGGAAATTAGCGATGTAACAGATGCATATACTGCGGTCGTTTATTTTTTATTTGTGTGTGTGTGTTTAGTTAAAAACACCTAATTTACATGTTTATAGGATTGTTAGTAATTTTGGGTAGCCAGTTATTGCCCTGGAGGTAGTGTCAGCTAAGTAACTAAACGTTGGCTACCGGGCCCCGTTTCCTTTGCCCCGTTTCCGTCGGGCTCGGTAGACGAGGCCTTTGTAAATGACAACGCCGCCTACGACGTTCAACCTTGATAAACCATTTGGCAACCCGCAGTAAATAAACTCCACCTTGACTGCAATACAAGCCTCTAAAACTGCAGTAAACGTATAATCGAGGAGCCGCGATGCGTGCCATCCCGAGCCCGTCCATCGCTAGCTCAGGGATGCACCTGTTCTATTCTAGGCGGACCAGAGCAGCGAGCTGCTGCTGGGGCATTCACCACAGATGCCCGACTCTCGCTCTCGGAAAATAAAAAATAAAATAAACGCCGCTAATCTCAAACTCATACACGACAAAAACTAGGCTGCATGGCAGCACGCTCCATAAGCCACCGTCCGAATACATCAACTCACAAACACTAAAATCGAAGAACCGGACCGAGGTTTGGTAGCCACCGAACGGGCTAACTAACAAGCTAACAGCAGTAGAGTATAGTGGTGACAAATATAGCTCTTTACCTGCCTCGTCGGCCGAGAGGAGTTCGTGCCACAAAATGCGCCCATTTAAGTAAAGACGAAGAGGCAGACGTTTTTCTTAGTGCCACTCGTGAAAAAGCAACGGAACCCCAAAATTCAAACTGACCTTGTTAGCGAGCTAACGTTAGCTAACTCGCGCCGTAATGTCTCCTCTTCTACCCTGAGAGCGCAGCGAAGACTTCTCAAATGCCATAAAACATGCGCTTCCCTTTGAGCGCCACGGGAGGAAAAGATAAAAAGTCTAGTATCGTGTGAATAGGGTACCTGGGCACAGTCAAGGTAACATATGTCTCCCCTCTGGGTTGGTAAGTCTACAGACACTTCACAGCTCTGTGTTGTAATTATGTCGGTTACTACCCCTCCCCGGCTGCCTCGCTCTATCCTTCTCTTACACAGGTCTACAGGTTGAGGCCGATCGTGTGTACCAGCGTGACTCCACCTCCCTTTTATTTGGAGACGTGCAGGTGAACGCAGAATAAAGTGATGCAGGACAGTATGCAGCAAAACACAAGTTCCCCAGTAACCTAACCTCACAGTGTTGCTTGCGATGCAAACTTCAGTGAGGGCAAGCATTTCCCTGCAGAGCTTTGTTTTATTTTTATGACAATGTGCCTCTCTGATGATGATTAAAAAGGCAAGTGCAGGTATTCCCACTTGTACTTTTGTTCTGCCGTGAATGTACCCTTTTAACTAACACTCTTGAAGTGATATATTTGACTTTCTTTCTGTGCTTTATAGCAAATATTATGGGGTCATTGCAACGAGTTGGCAAAGATATCTAAGCTGTTGCGGCAACAGTTTAGATTGTGCTTGTTTTTCGCTGGTAACTGGTCAGATATTTTAAGGGTCACTCGTGGTCTGGAGGTTATATTTGTTCAAAGAAGGGTTTTGAAATGATTAACAGCTGAACTGATTTTCTGTTTGTGCTGGTAGAAATACAGTCCGTGTTTGCACATTCTTATCGTCAAAACAAACTAAAAGCTGGAAGTGGGGTATTGTGTGTGCGTGCACGGTTTTCACCAATGTGCATTTGCAAGAGTGATTTTTTTGTTCTCAGACTCCTCAGTGAGGGCAGCTGTAATATTAGTCACAGGGTGCACGCATGTGGTTGTTTATGAGTCCAAGGTTTAAAGGAATTAGGTGTTTCTAGGTTAACATTTCATTGCTAAAGCATCCTTGGTAAGTTTCTGATACATTATGTAACGTGTGACGTTTTCAAATGTCAAATATATAAAATCCTGTACCAGTTAGAGCTATGAGGAAAAAGGTCAGTATTGGTTCGTGGATTTGTTTAGCAATGGTTTGAGCTGCTGCCTGATTGCATTGCATAAAATTCCTTAAAATCCCCTTTCTTCACCTTGACAACTTCTTACCTTTCCTCTTATAGGTGGAACACAAAGATGGTGGCAATCCTTTGTGAAGATCTTTGAGCCTGTACGAATGACTGGTTGCATTAAGCCTGCATTATTATGGTTTTAAATAGGGCATGAGCTCTTTTGGGAAAAATACTTAAAAGACGAAAGGAAAGTTTAAAGAAAATGGAACATTTTCCAGACTGACAGTCGGTGTTGAAAAAGAGGCAAGCAGCACAGTAAAAACCTTCAAATGAAACAACAATTATAGATGTCATTATACTGCCAAATAAAGCTGCCAAATAAAACTGCCAGATAAAATGGTAAAAATGGGCATTCTTACTCACTTTGCCAACAAATGATTAGATGTCTTTTACCCTGCAGAAAATATTTGCCTGAAATATGTGGTTCCATTTACATGATGTCATCATCATAAATAATCATAAACAATAAATTGCACAAATATCTTGGAGCAAAAAAATTGACTCTGTGTTTATGGCAACAAAGAAAGGACTTTCATATACTAATAAAACCCTTGGCAGCCATGAGGAGAATTTTAAGATGGAAAAACAGTAGCTGTCTGTAATAGTTCACAGACATGTCAGTCATCCGAATCGCTTTGACTCTTTGTTCACCCCTGAAAGGCAACATGTATATACAGCTGCAAGAACATGTTAAAAAAAACCATTTAGCATTAACATGATTTATTAGATATATTCACAAATACAGGCGAAAAACAAAATGCGATGAAGCACTTTTCACATCTTTAGTAAACCTGCTACCAGCTGTGCAGGCTGCAGAAAAAAATGTACTTTTCAGTTAAGTAACTTATAGAATCTCCTTTACCAGGAAAAACCTCACATGTTTACTGATTCCTCCTTTACCTCATCAGATGAGACTTTTGGATCATTGCTCAATATAGACATATTTCAGTTCCTCAGCATTTTTGTGATTTAGTTTTTTAATTGTGCAACTATCTTTTGATGAAACTGCATCACCAGTGGGTTGCATTTCCTGTTTTTTCCAACCACTTTTGTTTAATTTTTCTTTCTGTGGTTTCGGATATTGCAATGTCACTTCTCCTGAGCGTCATGGACTGCTTGCCCCGTGATTCTATGTTAAACTTAGTTTAAACAAGTTTTAAATACATACGTTTTTTCACTGATCTCATGGCGTTTTGGCCCTGAGGTAGCAAAGCAGCTCTCAACTACGACGCTTCCTCCTCGGTGCTTTACCTTTGAGATTTCTGTAGTCCTTTCCGCCTGAGCTGTTTTGTTTTTACCACTGGTTTCCTTTTTTTTTACCTCTTTAATGCAATCGTTGCAAGGTGTCAACTCGTAGGTAAATTTTCTCAGTTTGCGGACAGATTTATTATTATACCATTTTATATATAGACCTTTTCCAGCTTCATGGATCTCTACAGTGCTAAGTCTTAGGTTGCGGTGACTGAGACTTGCTCTGCACTAACCAATCTTTCTTGAGAATAGCATACTTTGTCAGAAGAATATGCTAAATGAATGCCTAACTCTGAGTAGCCTTTGGAAAAGTTGTTGAAGCTCAGATGACATTTTATGAGTAATCGATACAATAAAACATTATCATACTATATAAAGTGCTCTGACGTGGCCATTGTATATTAGCAGAATAGATAACACTGCAAGAAACTGAACTGAATTGAAACGAATTGAAAATGTGATGGATTTAATTAAAGGCTTTCTCTTGCAGCTGCCTAGCTGCATATCTAATTGAGAGTACATGTAGCATATTGAGTATTTTAAAACAATATTTTATCTAATGCACATTGTAATGAATGTGCATCTGTGCTTTAATTCTTTCGGAGTTAGCACTGAAATATGTGCATAAAGAATTCATCATCACGTAGCAAATTTGTGGGACAATTTGCTTAAATCACAGATTACAATTTGCACATCACACCACATACTACAGTCATTGTAATCAGAATCTATTTTTTATAGGCATGTTGCACCTAATTGTCTCAAAATTGAATTAATACGCCATCTGCACAGACAATAATTAATAAATTATATCATTTTCAGGTGAGAGGAATGCAAGCGTTTACTAATAGTTGCTGTTCTCTCATCTTATTGTTTACACTCAAGACAGAAGAGGGATTTTCACTGCAAATGCATCGCCCGGCTCTCATTTTGTCTCAATTCACATACACAACAATACTTGCAAGTCTACTAGACCATGATAGGCCCACCGCAGAGGGGCTTTCATGTGATTGCACATATCAGTCTGACTCTTGATGTGTGAGCACAGAGAAAGAGAGAGGATTAAGAATCAGCTGACTCCCCACATTTTCTTCCAAGTGACTTATTAGAAGGGTTATTCTGAGCGGTCTGCTGGACCGCTGAGGGGGTTGGCTGAGTAGTGAGACCCTCAATGAAGCCAATTTCTCTCACAATGGTAGATTACTTTAGACAACCTTCTCGGCTTTACCCAAAAACAAACGGAAGGAGCCTTTTGTACTTTTTCTCTGTTGTGCTCACAGATCTCTCTCGTTCGCCCACAATTTTTTCTCACACATCATAATTTAGTGTATCTGCAAAAGTGTTTTGGACTCACATGATGAGGCACAGGGCTACAGTAATTTGCTGGGCCATTTCATCAGGGTCAGCAGTGAAACACTTTTAAAAATGTTCTGGGAACATGTCATTTACCTGTAACAAGCTTTTGTTTCTGGTCTACTGTGGACACTTGTTTACTCTGTCACTTGTCATGTCGTTCCAGCAATAAAACAGGAAGAAAGATGATTTCCTTTCACTGCAGCATCTAGACCAGACTACCATTTCCTTTTCCATCCACGTGCCCCTGGCTATCTGTTCTTGCTGCTCAGCACAAATAAGATTTCCAAAGAGGTACCATTATCACTTGTGCATGTTTACGCTGAAACACGCTGCTAACAAGCTAACACACTGTGAAAACCTCCTATTGATGTAAAAGAAAAACTAATTATTTGCCAAATACTTTGTCTTGTTGAAAAGTAATTTGGGACTTGTGATTTCAGCTTGTCATATTTACATGCATCTCAGAGCAAATTAATCCCTTTTTGGTCTTGCTGCGGTGAGTTAGCTGATAATTTGCAAATTAGATGCATAATTAATCCACAATCAGACGCCCTAAAGGCAATTAGAGGCGATGGGACGCTTCTGTACTTCGACCAGTGGCAGGTCAGGCTGCTCCATTACAGGGTAAACACAAAGCTCTTAAGGAGACTTCATGCTAAATGGAAGTGTGAGGAAAAGCCCCTAATGACCGTTGTGACTGGGGCAATATTTTGGTTATCAGAGACACACACGCCTAATGACTTTGAAACACATCAAGAAGACATCAGCAAATACAGAAATCATCAAAGGGAATGGCCACAGGATGACCCCAATGAAAAGCTGTAATCAAATCCCAACCTGGCGACTGAACAGGCCCTCAATGGCCCCTTAATGTGTTGTGTAACTTTAGCAGTTACCTGAAATACCCTAAACACAATCCAACACTGCACGATTACACAGCCATAAAGAAGAGTCCAAATGAACCTGAACTTAATTATGATAGTAGCCTTCCACAAGTTCTCATCAATACCTTATTTTCCATTATAAAGAAGTCTCTGACCGAGCGATGACCTTAGAAATGTCTTATTTTAGCTCCCCCCCCCCCTTTTTTTTTTTTTAATGGTTGCATTATTTTTTCAGTGGAATTGTTTGCCAAGGTATTGGCTGTGTGGTTTTCCCATCTCTTTTGGACTAGATTAAAAAAAATCACAGCAGCTTCTTGAAAATTCCCATAAAATTTATTGATTCACAATAAAGCAGACATTTGTCACTCTGCTTGGTAACATTTGGATGAATCACATTGATTTTACTTGAAAATCAGTTGTTTTTTGGATAAATTCTCCCCAAACTAATGACTTTCTTCAGCCTCAACAGTACTTAGTGTTTTGGAGCAAATAGCAAACGTTCACATGTAAACATCCAGTGTGTATAACTAAAGTGGTGAGGATGGTAAAAGCTTGTACAGTACTTTGTATAAACAGTCTGTATTGCT